TTGGGAGACATTGAACAATGTTTAGAGACATTTTTGGTTGTCACAACCAGGAAGAAAGAGTGCTACTGGCATCTAGGTGTGGGTAAATTAGGCAGTAAAACATGATGGAGGCAAAGGCAGAAAAGGAGGAGGATAAAGCCTGCAAAACTCTGTCTTATAAGTAAAACCAATGTTGTGGTTTGCGATTGCTCTATGTAAGATCTGCAAGGGAAGTAATATACAGGTTACTTCATCTTCATGTGACGTCTCAGTGTCTACTTTCTCTATGGCAAAGTGTCTGTATTAGTTAAGATAAGGTTAAGCCACTGTCAAAGACCTAACATCATGCAATAACTTTTAAGAAACACATAAGTTAATTTCTTTCATATGTAAAAGTGTGAGGCCGTCCAGACTGGCAGGCAGCCCTGATCCACATAGTCATTCAGAGACACATGTTTCCATGAAAGTGCTATTTGTCATAATCTTCATGGTCTCACTGGGTCACCTGGGTTCTACCCTTCCAGCAGGGGAAAGAGGATGTAGAAAAAGCAACCACCCAGTGTTTGAGAAGAAGTCAGCAGGCAAGTACTACATATCACTTCACTTCTGCTCATACTCCACTGGTGAGACCTGTCCTTTGGCCACATCTAACTGCAAGAGTATCTGGGAAATACAGTATGGATAGGCAGCGATGTTCTCAGCAACAATCCTTTTACTGTGGTCGAAGGCAAGAATGAATTTTAGAGGACAGTTGATAGTCCTGCCGTAGGGTTCAGGCAACCAAATAACGGGTGTGGTAGTTGGAACAGAATCATACTTTTATTGCAAGACAACAGAGAAGCATAGTAAGTTTCAAACCTTGATATTATTAAGTCATTGTTTATTTAACTGGCACTGATGCATAAAGCATTCAAAAGATATAGCTACATGTTCTTCAAACTTGTACCTTAATTTCTTATAAAGTTGTGAAAATATTTAGAAAGTTGAGAAAAGAGTAATTTGCCACATTTGCTTTCACTCTCAGAAGAGCATTTCATTTGTACATTTACTGAACCTCTGTGGGTGCCAGTCACTGTGCTACACTCTCGGAGTATAAAGACAGCTAAGATACAGCCCGTATTCCCAAGGAGCCCACAGCTAGTGGTAGAGATGATCAAATTTCTGGTGTCTATTGTTTATTTATTTCTTTGTTTGTTTTAATGCTGAATGGTGTGATCAGAGCCAACCTAGCTCTGTGCTAGGTTTGCACAACTCAGCATGGGCACAGAGAGAGAAGGTTCAAAGGGAGTAGTTACAGAACATATAGGGCTAAATCTGGAGGTGAGAGTAGGAGTTGACCAGATGGACCCAAATAGGGAAAAAACATTACAAGCCAAGGAAATAGTGTGGGTAAAACTGAGAATGTATGAAGCAGCTCACATGGGAAACTGCCAGTGATTTACCCTGGAGGTGAGGGTGCAAGTCAGGACAGGGAGAGTTGGGCACACACAGGTTCATTTAGGGCCTTGCATCCTCATCCTGAGCTGGTGACAGGGATTTTATTCTATAGATGATGTGGTTGCACTGATTCCCAGGGTACCTGGTTGGATCTGGATTTAGATAAATCATTAGCAAGATACAAAGATAGATTGGAATCTAAGAAGTTCAAATGTTAGCAATAAGGTCAAGCCTTCTGATGCTTCAAGTGGGAAAATTCTTGCAGAAAGAGTTCCACATACAAAAAAAAAAAAAAACTTGGCAAAACTCTAAGGAATTTTATCTTTTGAAAATCAATCCATAAAAGAAATATACTTTTTAAATCAAACTTATCATAGTTCTGGTATAGAAGAAAGATATATATAACATAAAGATATATATATATATAACAAATGTATATATAGCATAAGCCATCTTTGAAGGAGACAAAGAAGAAAGTGTGAGCTTATAACGTAAGGCGGCGTATAACTAGGCACACTCAAAGGGCAAGGGGCTCCCAGGGCTGTGGGTATTTAGGGAAGGGAATTTAAATCATGGAATTGGAGCTTTGCCTAGAAAAGAAATGAACTATCTCACTTTGATTACATTTCATAGGTAGAGATAGAAACAGATTCTTCTTCCTCAAATGAATGGATATTTTCACACAAAAACACTATAAGAGAATGGCAAATGCATAAGCAACTAATGTCTTCTTCTCATCCTCCCAAGTTCTAGAATTAGAGAGAGAAGAGGATTGTTAGCCAAAGAAGAAAGTGTTAGGGTTCGAATATGTATGTCCCTTATTTGTTGAAATTCTACCTATCCCTCAAGGTAATGGTATTGAAGAAGAGGGACCTTGCAGAGGTACTTAAGCCAGAGTCCTTGTGATTGAATTAGTGGCCTTATTAGAGACCCCAAAGAGCTAGCTAGCCCCTTCCACCATGTAAGGGCACAGCTGGGAGGTGCCATCTATGAACTAGAAAGCGACCTCTCAGCAGACACCAAATCTGCTGATGCCTTGATCTTGGACTTCCCATCCTCCAGAGCCATGAGAAATAAATTTATATTGTTTACAAGCTACCCAGTTAATTATATATTGTTGTAGCAGCCTGAATAGGTTAAAACAGGGAATTAATGGTTACAGTCTCTCTCTCCTCCAGGTGGGGGTCAGCACATACTGAGGAGGAAAAAGGTGATGGAATAATTTGACAGCCACTGGCTCATCTTAGAAGTTAGTTCCTTCAGACAAGGACCACAGACGAGTTGGTAGGACTTAATGAGAGCAGCAAGTGCCAGTAATATAGATTAGATATATATCCTGTGGACTGAGGCTGCCCCCAAATTCCTCCACACACATTCAAGGACTGGGCTTCTTGTCTCCTCAAGGCTGACGACCCTCTAGAGACCAAAGAGAGAAAGTCTTTATAAGGTAGCATTTGCTTGAGGGGCCAGAGGACCTAGTAAAGGAATTGTACCAGGGACACTGCGCAAAGATAAGATAATTTGATGAGGCAGAGGGCAACAAAGGCCCGCTTGCAAGATTGACCCTTAGTTAACATCTGGGAACTTGGATTTCAGGAAAGTTTCCACCACTCTAATGGCTGAGAGTAACTCATTGTGCATAAACTACATACATAAACAGCATGATTTATGCTTTCCTTCTGGGACTCTGGAATTTTAGTACGTGCTAGGCAGAGGGTACCTGTGTGACGAGCCCCCAGTAAAAACCCTGGGCACTGAGTTTTTAGTGAGCTTCCCTGTTAGACAACATTTCATGTGTGTTGGCACAACTCGTTGTGGAGGAGTGAAGAACATCCTGTGTGACTCCACTGGAAAAAGGACTGTTGGAAGCTTGTGCCTGTTTCCTGCAGACTTCGCCCCGTGTGCCTTTTCTCTTTGCGGCCTGTCACTATAATAAATCTTAGTCATCAGTACAACTATATTCTGAGTCCTGTGAATCTTCCTAGTGAATCACCAAACCTGGGGATGGGCTTGGGGATCCCTGAGACAGCAAGACTCGCAGGAAGGACTCCGGTAGAAACTGGCTGCTCAGTGCTAGCACTTCTGTAACCCCCAACACGTATATTTATTTTAATTTCCGTCTTCCAGAATTAAACACTTGATTGTGTTCATTGTATCTTTCTTAACAACTGTAACTATTCTAAATTTTTCAGATTTTAGAAAGGTATTAAACAGACCGCATATTATGAAATGTCCCAGCAGGTCTGGGGAAGGACTCATACTCAAATATATTAATATGGCTGCTTTTGACGCATGAGCAGTCTCACTAAGTGGAATAAATGGAGACCCTAAGGAGCCTCACATCAGTCCAGGTCAGAGCTCGCCACCAGATGAGTTTATGCCAAACTTAGAGAAAAAAATTTAGAATTTTTAAAGCATTTAAACATTTAGCGTTTCAGGTAAGAGAGTATGCTTATCAGGAAATTAAGGATTAGAAAAGTGAATTAATTTGCCAACAGTAGCACCACTTGTATTCGAGTTGAATTTCAAATTTAGGACTATCTAGGCCACGTGCCAGAGAACTCTTAGCTATTGCTTTAGAGTATCTTTCTAGTTACTTTTAAAATTGTACCTTCAATGTCCAAATAGTACTAATGAGGAAGTAGTGTGAAAATAAGGGGGAATAGAGAAAAAGAAAGTAATTATCTTTCTTTGGAATGGTCGTTTGGGCATTTGCATTTCCCCGTGGAACTTATCCCAAATATACGACATATTTTTGCCTTCTGTAAGTCTTACTGCACATCAAGGCCCCAAAGAGATAGATCCACCAGTTCTCTCTCCTGGGGTGTCTCTGCGATGCCTCTAGCTGCCGTCATCCCCAAAAGGAGCGTGTGCGTGTCTGTGTGTCCCTTCATTGTACCTTCCAAGGCAGCAGGAGTGTGTCTTATTTTTTCTCTCTCTCTTTTAGTGCATAATGCTCAATAATTCATTTAAGTAGATTTTTTTAAAAATTAAATTGAATAGAAAGTTATTTTGGTTGAATGAAGATAACTCCAAGATTTCTCTGGGTGGGAAGGCCAGCTAGCTCACACTTCCTGGAAAAAGTTCATAATAGACACGTTTGCCTTCACTGTGGCAACAAAAGAGATGGTTTGGAGAAAAAGAGGAGCAACAGGACTCCTACCAATAAAATATCTTCCTTCCATAAGATAGCAAAATATATTTTACACAGGTATTTGCTGTGAGCAGGATTTGGGGAACAAGAAGTCACTACCAATCAGACATGTCTGAACTGCTAAGTTTTGTTTTTGCTTTTCTACCCCTTCCTGCTCCTTGCTTTTAAAAATGGATGCTCTATCAGTTAGAAAGATGTTTGTAACCCAGTTCCCTGTGTTCTTACATCCTAGGAGCTTTGTTATTCTAATAAGTCTGTTCTGCCTCCACTTGCAAACCAGCTTAATTTAATTCTAAATGAAATCTCTCATTTTTTATTATGTTCGATGCAAGCTTAGTAATTCTCAGAAAATGGTCCTTGTTAAATGAAGTTTAGCTAGAAATTCTGATATTCTGGGATGCTTACACAAACAGCTGTCATTCTTTGCAATGGCTTCATTATTCAGTGACACAGTTAATAGCGTTGTTTTACTTTTACTCGAAATTGTCTTTGTCTTTCTCTGCTTGTTCCAGCAACAGTTTTCCTGGAGTTCTGGAAAAGACGGCGAGCCGTAATTGCGTATGACTGGGATTTGATAGACTGGGAAGAAGAGGAGGTTTGTATCACTTACCTGCGAATTTTTTAGAAAGCAAATCACCAAGAAGTACACAATTCCCTTGAATCATCACTCTCAGCTCCGGGACAGAAGTCCCGTTTACTCATAAAGCATTTTCAATACTTGCCTTTGTAGGAAATTTCAAGTAGTATAAGAAGGGACTGGCAAAAAAAAAAATTTTTTTAAGCACTTTGATTCCTTCATGGAATAAAATTCTATGAGTAAGTGAAGGATTTCACTTGTGAGTAGAGAACCCAAAAGAATTGGTAAGATGTTTTTTAGTTTTCTTAAATGTCATCCATTTTCTTTACTTCAGCAGAAAAAGGGCATTAGTTTTACATCTCTAGGCACATGGAAGACGACCTTCTAAGAAAATTGCTTTAAGGAAACATTTCTGTGAGCACCTCAGTACCCAGGACACTGCCCAGGTGTGCACAGCTCTGAAGTGTCGCATCAGGTGGCAAATGCTGAGGAGAAACCACTCCTAAGCAGCTACCTTTGGGGATGTGGCTAAAGGTGGGGCCGGCTCTAGGTGAAACTGCCAAGACAAACGTGGTCTCTGAGACGTCACCTTCTCAGCACATTCACCAGTGCTATCATTCTCCTCTTACCCTCTTCTTGACCAATCCACTGTGCTCTTTCCTGACCTCTATCTGGTTTTAACACTCTCTCCTTGCCCCTTTCCTGTCAGAAGTCTCAAGTACCCAGCGGGGCATGGTCACCACATTGTCCCATCAGACCTTGCTTTCCCTTGATGTTGGTCCAGGCCTCAGCTCCCCTCTCCTCCCTGTCATTCCTCATCTCTTACCTCTCCTGAGTCTCGTACCTCAGAGCCTCACGATGCCACCAGTCAGATAAACCCATCATAGACATGTGATGTGACAATGGAAATTAATGTGTGTTTTCCTTACAGGAAACATATATGTGTATCTTTATATACTAAAAGGAATCTTCTAGAAATATGAATATTGAGAATTTTAGCACTGGGAGGCTTGGTGGGAGAAGTAATTTTGAGAGGCTTTTTTGTTTGTTTGTTTGTTTGTTTCCTTCAAATCACACCTCTAGTTCTCAGTTTGGGATTCATTGTGGAACTGCCTTACTTCTAGCCCATGGCTCCCAGCTTATTGTGCAGAAAAGCCTGGACTCACTGCATACCTTCTTCTGGGATAACCTAGTACATTATTTTGCTAGGGCATCCATAACAAAGTACCACAGACTGCATAACTTAAACAATAGAAATTTGTGTGCTCACCATTCTGGAGGCTAGAAGTCCAAAATCAAGGTGTCAGCAGGGTGGGTTTCTTCTGAGGGCCACCATGGAGCAATCTGTTCCAGGCCTCCCTTCTTGGCTTATGGAGGACATCTTCTCCTGTGTCTTCACATTATTTTTCCTTTGTGTGTGTCTGTGTCCAAATTTCGTCTTCTCATAAAGATGCCAGTCATATTGGATTAGGATCCACCCTAATGACCTTACATCTTTAATTCTGTAAAGAACCTGTTTCCACATATGGTCACATTTTGAGGTACTGGGGGTTAGGACTTCAACTTATGAATTTGGGGGACATGATACAATTCAGCTTATGACACCAAGGAGCACAGACCTGGCTGCATGACTAGCCTCCGTTTTTGATTGGCTAGCTCAAGGGCTCTTGATGACACTTATAAATTGAAGCCTAATAAATTGAAAGTTTCCCAAATAAATAAAACAGTCTAAGCCCACTCTGTTTATATCCTCAAGTATAACTACCTGAAATAAATGAAAGAGACAGAGCCTGCTTCTAGCTTCATCTCCTACCAATCCTACCCATGACCTGCCCTGAGGGAGATCTGGCACTTACACTGTGGCATGAGTCAGGCTAAACTGACACAGAGGCTGCCCGTCATGCTACTATGATGGCTGTGACCAAACTGTGCTCACTCTCCGTGACCTCTCTCCTGTCAGCTCTTTCTTAGTTATCTGTCAATACCTTCTTCCACGTCTCAAGTCTATCTGCATTGCTTTAACTCAATCTCCCTTCCACCAGAGTTTCCGCTTGTCCATCTCTTCCAAAACACTCAAATAAAACATATACTTAATTACCCAGAGCCACATCAGCGTGCCCTCGTGCTAATTACCTTTTCCTAATCCCCATAATTGCTTTTTAGTCAGAAGCTTTCACGTTTGGATGGGGCTCAGCTAAATAAGATAAAAGCTTGATTTAGAATTAGAGGAGCCTCGATTTTAGCTGGTTTTGAAAGGTGTTTACCTTATTTTCAATAACAGTTAAGAATACATTTAAAATCTATTGTTTAAAGATGAATGACTCCTGTGTGACCTTATCAAAAAGTAGATCCACCATGTTTTTAGTTACTTAAATCTAAAAATGCAAAAACAACAACAACAACAAAAAAAAACATTTGTAGGAGAAAACTAAGATTTATGCTGTTATTATAATTTGTAAAATATTTTCCTGTTCAGAAGCCTCCTTTGTCCTGGTGTCCATATCACTCTCTGGTAATAAAAGTAAAAGCTTATTAGTTGCTCCCAATCACTAAGGACAGAACATATGGTTGCTTTTAAAATTTTATTATCAGCTTCTTTCTTCAAGCTTAGTTTAGTAAGATAACAGAGAAACATAACTGTTAGTCTAAATCACATTGCTTTTGATGATAGTAAATCTTGATCTTCCATCTTTAGATTTTCTTCAAGTGGCCAATTTTCAAACATTTAAGCCTGGGGTGGCTGATTGATTAGCGTGACAGCTATTGACTCAGTTTTACACTGGGGTAAAATGATATATTCTTCTCTTATTGTGTGAACACCTCTTCAGTGCATAAAAATGTATCTGCTTCTCTTTTAGGAAGAAATCCGACCCCAGTTTGAAGCCAAGTATTCCAAGAAAGAGCGGATGAATCCCATTTCGGGAAAGCCAGAACCTTATCAAGCATTTGCAGATAAATGCAGCAGACTTATCGTTTCTGCATCTGGAATATTTTTTATGGTTTGAAAATTTTTTTAAAAAAAAATCCCTTTATTTGTTTCATAAAGTACAAACCTATAGCACAAAAACAACAATAATTGTATCAGGCATTTGCATAGTTCTATAAAACATTTTTCACTTTATGTTATTTAATCCTCATAATAGCTCTGTTTGGTGGTCAGGGATGGTATTGCCATGCCCATATTACAGATGGAGCAGCTGAGACTCCAAAAGGTTGTGGGGCTTGCCTACGGTCAGCCAGTAAGTGGCTAAGAGCTCAGGCCCTCTACTCCAATATGATGTTCTTGCCACTCGCCATGTTCCACTATGCCATGCTGAAAGGAACTGAAAATGTTCCACTATGCCATGCTAAAAGGAACTGAAAATTTGGGGTAGGATCTCCAGCAGTGTTTTTCCACCTTTTTCCCATGCCCATGCAGTAAGAAATGCATTCTCCGTCATAAGCCAGTATATGCTATGCAAGTAGATGTCAAAAACTGAATATAACTAAAACAATAGTCAGCTTTACAATATGCAATAAACTCTGGTTTTTCTGTTTTATTATGTCTATATTTTTACTACCAGATAAAATCTCCCAAAATTGATTTCCTGACTCACTAATGGTCTTACCAGTTTGAAAAACACTAACTTAGAGCTGAGTTGTCAGCTTTTCCTAAAAGGAAGTCATTTAGAGATGAACTTTGATACAATTAATTTCTGAATAAAACATATGCAAATTTTCCAGAAATGTCATTGTAGAACAATAAAGGATTGTTAGGACCCTTCTTTCTTTTTTCCAAAAGACAAATGGGTAAATACATCCCCAAAGCCATTGGAGTACAAAGAACAAAACTATGGCAAGCCCAGGCAGGCTACCCACTTCTGCCAGTAAGAAAGCAGGGACATGGAAGGCTGCGCAGCTTGCCCAGAGTCCCTGGGCTCAGACCAAGGTTCAGATCCATACACTTCTGTAGATGTCACTTTGTAAGCAATTGTGTCATGCTTTGCCTTTTAAACACACATTTATATTTATTGTTTTGTTTCTCACATAAGACCCATAGACATAGATTAAGCTTTCCCTGTTCTACAGATGGGAAACATGAAGCACAGGAGGCTGAAGCCATGGAGAAGACAGGCTTGCCCAAGGTCATGTTGCTGGGTAATAGCTGAGCCAGGACTCTGGTCTGTCCTCTGACTCTGAGTCCAGTGAGCTCTCCATCCTACCACATTACCACCCTTGTCTGAATTTTAGGACTGATTTTACCTGTCTCCTGATCAACAGCTCCAGGATTAAGTTCTAGGCAGGTTTTAATTTCTTTATTTGATTATTATCATGTTATTATTATTTTGGCCAGTTCTAGCTAGGGCTTATACCCAAGCTTTCAGAGCATATCACCCTTAGAAGTAAACAGGAAATAAAATTTGTACAAAACAAAGGAATACTTATGTGAAGAAAGGAATCTCCATGTCAGCAGAGGCCTTCCTGAGGCTTGGCGTTAGGATATAGCTTGTGATAATTAAGTGGGCTAAGATCTCTCCTCTTAACACGTATTAGGTAAATCACCTAGTGAAAGTCACAAAACTTCTTGGAGTCTCAGATTCGCATTACAATTGGCCCTTATTTATATTTAACCAACTGCAGATGCAAAAAATTTAGGAAAAAAAAAAGAATGATGTATCTGTATTAAACATATACAGACTTTTTTCTTGTCATTATTCCCTAAACAATATAGTAAAAACAATCATTTGCCTAGCATTTGACTGCATTAAGTATTATAAATCATCTAGTAATGATTTAAAGTATATAGGAGAGTGTGCATAGGTTATGCAAATGCTACACCATTTTATAAAAAAAGACTTGATCATCTGTGGATTTGGAGTATTTATAGAGGGTCCTGCAACCGATGCTTCATGAGGATACTGAGAGATGACTGCATTATATTTCATAGAGAAGATATGCTGTATTGTTCTCAAATATCATAAAATCTTCAGGGAAATATGCTTCAGTCTATGTGTCTATTCAATTAATAAGATACTAGATACACATCACATTGTTGGTCCATTCAGCAACAAATAACTGAGCACCTACTATGCACCTGCAATTATACTAAGGTGCTGCATACACCATGGTGAGCAAAACATACCATCCCTGCCCTCCTGGAGCTTACTTTCTAGTGGGGGAGATTGACGATAATCAAACAAATTGTGGGCCAGGCGTGATAGCTCATGCCTGTAATCCTAGCACTCTGGGAGGCCGAGGTGGGCGGATTGCTCAAGGTCAGGAATTCGAAACCAGCCTGAGCAAGAGCGAGACCCCATCTCTACTATAAATAGAAAGAAATTAATTGGCCAACTAATATATATAGAAAAAATTAGCCGGGCATGGTGGCACATGCCTGTAGTCCCAGCTACTTGGGAGGCTGAGGCAGGAGGATTGCTTGAGCCCAGGAGTTTAAGGTTGCTGTGAGCTACGCTGACGCCACGGCACTCACTCTAGCCTGGGCAACAAAGCGAGACTCTGTCTCAAAAAAAAAAGAAAAAAAATTGTTAGAAATGATAAGTAGTATCCTGAAAGAAGATATACTCATGTGGTATAGGTACCATATTACAAAAAAGTAACAAATAATCTGGGGGTCATGAAAAACTTTATAAACTGGTGCTTCAGCTGAGAAGTGAAGAAGGATGAGTAGGTGTTAACTAGGCTGTGTGAGTGTCAGTGTGTGTGTGTTTAGCAAGAGATTGGGTGGGTAGTCCTGGTAGGCAAAGGAAATGGTCTTGAGGATTAAGGATGTTTAGCTCATTTGAAGCACTATGAGATGGTATGGGGTCCTCAGAGGGAAGGGCGAATGGTGCCCAACCAGGCTAGAGACAGCCATATGGGCCACAATATGAACTTTGCTTTTATCCTAGAGTAATAGGAAACCAATAAACAATTTCAAACAGAAGAACAGCATGATGAGATTTCCATAATAAATATTTATTCATCTGCTCAATCGAACATTTGACTTTAAAAAGTGTTACCCCATAGCTTACACAGATTCTCAACTTCCAAACTGTGATTTTCCTATGTGAATAACAAAGAAAATACAGGCAAGAGAAAGTATTAACCACCATGAAAAGTATGCATTTCGTTGTGGTGTCCTGAGCCAGTACCACCATGGCATTATTTCCTCTTCTCATCAGAGGATTTGCCAGGAATGTGAATCTTCTTCCTGAAACATTCCACCAAAGGGCTCACTGGGTCTCCTCTGTCTTCCTGCCAGATCTGCGTGGTGATCGCCGCCGTGTTCGGAATCGTCATTTACCGGGTGGTGACTGTCAGCACGTTTGCCGCCTTTAAGTGGGCGTTAATCAGGAATAACTCTCAGGTTGCAACCACAGGGACTGCCGTGTGCATCAACTTTTGTATCATTATGTTGCTGAACGTGGTAAGTGAGCTACAAGATAAGTAGCAAAATGGATCAAAATAGGTGGGCTGCCAGGGATAGTTTTCTTCTCTTGCTAAAGGGACCTGGCTTCAGAGAGGTGGGTCACTCGCGTAGCACTGATGTCCTGGCAGCAAAGTGCCTGGCATGAGATGCACTCAGCTCTGGGGGTTTAAAAGGCTCGATTCAAATCCAGGCTCTGGGATTTTTTTGCAGCATAAGATTGGACAAGACATACAATCTCTTTGGCCATTAGTTCCCTTATTTGTCCAGTAAGATCATACTGTATACCCCTTGGGGAAATTTAGAGAAAGAATGTATTTAGAACACCCAGCTCAGAGCCTGTGACATAGGTTGGCAATGTTGTTTCCTGTTCCCTTTTGATTCTGAATGGTGGCAAGGTAGGTAGTAACCAAAGCATTCCTTGAGAATTCCATGCAAGGAAACTATCAAGGCGGTAAAATATATTTCAGCCCAGATCTTTCCCCCAACTCCAAACACATATGTCAAACTGCCTACACTAACACTTTCAACCCCAAATTCTCCATCTGCCCTACAGAATTGGCTCTTTCCACGGCCTCCCCCATTGGAGTTGCTCAGGTTAAAACCCTTCCATGGGTGGGGAAACCGCGGCCTTCTGATTTCAAGATTGTTCTTTTTTAAGCACCAAAGGTGGCAAGAAAAGTTTCATCTTTCTCTGCTGCACCCCTTTTCATAAAAGGATTTGTTCTGTAAAATTTTGATTCAGTCAAAAAGCCACATTTAAGGAACTAGAAGGCCACTCATGGCCTTAAGGCCACCAGTCCCTGGTCCGGGTCCCCAGCCTCTCTTACCTGGATTACTGCAGGGGCTTCCTGACTGGTCTCGCAGCTGCCATGGTGTAGGCTCAGTGCGGAAGCCGGAGCTTCTCACGGGGAGTAGCTTGCATCACTCCTCTGTTCACAAGGCGCAGTGGCTTTCATCTCCCTCGGAGTAAACATACGTTGCCCATACGTTTTCTGCTTACATTACAAAGCACCTACTATGTGCTAGGAGCCAAGCAACAGGACATTTTACACGTTTTATCTCACAAAGTATTTCAGGGTGGCCAGAATGGATGATGTAGAGTATACACACTGAAGCTAACAAGTATTAATCTTAGGAATGCCTTTATGGTTTATTGCCATTTATTTGTTTTTATTTTTTTAAGGTTACATATATTGCTCATGCCCCCCCTCATCCCTTGAGACAGAGCCTCAAGCGTGTCCATCCCCCAAACGTTGTGCATCTCACTCATTATGTTTGTATATACCCATCCCCTCCTCCTCCCCTCCCACCTGCCCAACACCCGATAAGTGTTATTCCTATATGTCCACTGAGGTGTTGATTCGTTAATACCAATTTGCTGATGAGTACATGTGGTGCTTGTTTTTCCATTCTTGAGATACTTCACCTAGTAGAATGGGTTCCAGCTCTATCCAGGAAAATACAAGAGGTGCTATATCACCATTGTTTCTTAAAGCTGAATAGTACTCCATGGTATACATATACCACATTTTATTAATCCACTAATGAATTGATGGGCACTTGGGTTGTTTCCACAACTTTGCAATTGTGAATTGTGCTGCTATAAACATTCGAGTGCAGGTGTCTTTTTCATAAAGTGACTTTTGATCTTTTGGGTAGATGCCCCGTAATGGGATTGCTGGATCAAATTGTAGATCTACTTGTATCACTTTAAGGTATCTCCATATTGCTTTCCACAGAGGTTGAACTAGTTTGCAGTCCTACCAGCAGTGTAGGAGTGTTCCTATCTCTCCGCATCCATGTCAGCATTTATTGTTTGGGGACTTTTTGATAAAGGCCATTTTCACTGGAGTTAAGTGATATCTCATTGTGGTTTTGATTTGCATTTCCCTGATGATTAGAGATGTTGAGCATTTTTTCATATGTTTGTTGGCCATTATTCTGTCTTCTTTTGAGAAGTTTCTGTTCATGTCCTTTGCCCATTTTTTGATAGGGTTGTTTGGTTTTTTTCTTGCTGATTTTCCTGAATTCTAAATAGATTCTAGTTATCAGCCCTTTATCAGATGTACAGCTTGCGAAAATTTTCTCCCATTCTGATTTCCCAGCCAACATCAAACTAGAATGACATAAGGTTGCAGAGGCAAGTATACTGACGAGAACAGGAAATGGCAAGCCACAGCAAGGAGAAGGAAAGAAAAGAAAAAGCATCATAAGAACTCAAAAAGCAGCGTCAGCCAGGACCCTTTTGTGCGGGGGGCCAATTGCCTCACGCTCTTCAGCCGTCTCTGATGACATCTCATTCCAGCACACACATTTACTTGCTTGTCCTATGCCCTGAAGCTTCGCAGGTTCCGTTATGAGGGCGACCAAGTGTGTAATATAGTTTGAAATGGTTTTCATCAGAGTATCTAAAATAAAAATTTTAAAAGTCCTTAGAAAGAAAATTTCAGCGTATGGATGACAGACTAATGACTACAATGTGGCTTTGACCAGTTCAGAACTAAACTCTCCTAGCTTCTGAAATTATTCTACTTAAGATATTTTCATGATCCAATAATACAGATTTTTTTACAGCTATCTAAATTGTTTTCAACTACTTAAAATTTTGATAATACTGATCTTGTAAAATAAAATCACCACATAGACATTATTTATTAATACTTTTTTATTAATTCAATATAAAAACCTTGAGAGCTAGATTAGTTTTTAATTTGTATTCATTAAAGTCTAATTTTTAAATAATATAATTATTATAAGGCACCTATTCTGTTTCTGACTTTCTGCTACATTTGTCCAGTCCTAACTGAAGAAGCAGATCTATAAGGGATGCATACTTTCTGGATTTGATGATGTATATTTGATGATATATATGTAGCATGTACTTTAAAACTAGAATTCATATTATTTTACAAAACTTCTTTAGATCCTAACAAAATATTATTATGCCTCTTAGTGACTAGTTGAGGAATACTTAGTAGTTTACATTTTATTTCCTGTCTTGAAAAGTAAATATATCAAAAATAGAGTGAATAGGAGTAAATAGGATGGATTTTCTTGCTACTAATAATACTGTCTCAATTCTGTTCTGCTTCACTAGTGATCAAAGAGCATCTCAGCATGGTGGTTGCAAGCTAAATAGGCCAGCAAAGGACATATCCCAGGAGGAGACTAAAAAGTTCTGACTGTCCTTTATATCCAGCCATACCCACATGAATCAGATATTTAATTATATTGTAAACAGTGAAAACCACAATCTCTTCTTCCAGAAAGAAGTAAGCCAGAAAATATGACTTACATCAGAACGAGGTCACATACGTCAATCAGGCTGACAAGATAAAATTAGGAGTACACATAGCTTCTTTTTGTATGTGTCCGTAAGATCAGAATGCTTTCTGTCAGTCACAGATGTTAACAATCAGAATTTGTGTCATCCAGTTTAGAAATGTTGACTTGCAGCTGCTCTTATCAGAACAAACCATCCCTGGTTTCTATCTCAACTGCCTAATGAGATATCAGACTTTTCCCAAAAACCACTCATCTGATCCCTTAGCTGCCAGGAGCCCCTCTGAGCATGTGCCCTTCTCTGCCGTGTCCTGTCCAGAGTGTCACTGTCAACACCCTCGTATCCTCAACATGTCTATCAGGTATTCACTGACACCACGGATCCCCGCTGTACCCCATACACTTGACCTTATTTTTCAAGAAGTTAATATTAATCACATGTTGACTCTAATGTTGTTCCTTTTTTAAATTTCAATTTTTTCAGTGTTCATACCCAATTAACAACGGCATATCATCAGATCCCAGGACCTTTTAGACAAGTGTGCAAAATGAGACACTTTGACAAATATATGTCAACGTGCAAGATATGAAAGATAAACTAGTTACTCAAGAATTGTGTGCTTGAGAAAGATAGTCTCATGAGTCAAATCTAATTGTCATTGATAATTATACCATTGAATAATTTTCATGTTACAGTGCATTTGGAGTATTAAAATATGTTTGATTGGAACATCTGTTCTAAACTGTTGTTTACCAGGATTTTGTTTTTATGATCAAGTGGGTATGACTCGTCTGTACCACAGGGTTTCTCATTGAAAGTTACACCAATCTCCTTTAACACTGGACTCCAATAGTCTGAGGTTTCTATGTACAAGATTTGATGCTATGGCCATATTAATTGTATTTTAATATAGCAAACCACAGTCATTGCTGAAAGTTTGGAGTGATACAATCTGAGATTTTGCCTGTTTCAGTAGCTAGCAGAAATCTCAGATAAGAGAATTCTCAGATAAGAGAATTCAAAAATTTAGAAGGACCTCAAGGCCAGTGAGTTCAATACCTACCTACTTATAGGAAAAGCAGTAGAAGAAGAGGTGAGGTAATTCAACTTGCCCAAGTCCTGGATGATAAAACTATAATTCCAGCCTGGGGAATTTTAACCAGTGTGTTTTCACTACTTTATTTTTTTTTTTTAATGAGGCAGAGTCTTGCTCTGCAGCCCTGGCTAGAGTGCAGTAGCATCATCATAGCTCACTACAACCTCAAACTCTGAGCTCAAGCCATCCTCCTGCCTCAGCCTCCCAAGTAGCTGGGACTATAGGTGCATGCTGCTGCACTCCGCTATTTTTTTCTATTTTTGGTAGAGGTCTCACTCTTGCTCAGGCTGGTCTCAAACTCCCGAGCTCAAGCGATCCTCCCGCCTTGGCCTCCCAGAGTGCTGGGACTGCAGGGGTGAACCACCACGCCTGGCCTATTTTCACTACTTTGTAATTTTCATAATGTTCGACTCTATTAAACTATTTTTCCTTGTCATTTATCATCTTTCATTTTAGAAAAAGCTTTCTCTCAGTTTATGCCCTCTCTAGGGACTCTCTGAGAGCTGAGTTTGCTCTAAACTATACCTTCTGAACCTTGGCATGTACACATGTGGACACACGTACACACACACACACATACACACACACACACACACACACACACCCTTAATTCCCTCAGGACCACCCATTTACCAGATGACTGGGTGAGTTAAGGATGTGTGAGTTAAAGATGTGTCAAGTGCACTAATGGAAAAGCAGAGTAGTATAAGCTCTGGGGGTTTCAATAATGTTTAATCACCCCAGTGTTTATGAATGCTGTAATCTAGAATGTACAGCAATCCATAAACAATAGGATTGCAGAATCTCATCGTTGGAAGTGGTCTTAGAGATTTTACATTCAGGATATCAAGGCACAGGAATGTCGTGACTTGCCCAGTGTTACTTAGAAAGCTGGTAATTAGTGGCAGCTAGCTTTGTTGACACAGAATTGTTCACCTAAAAATAAGAAGAGAGATTTAAAAACTAATTAAATGGGACCTTGTACATTTCTTTCTTATCTTGAAAGGGCACAGTTATACACAGTGTTTTCATTGTTTGAGCAATGGATGGTTAATGAAATTATTTTCACTCATGATTTGATTACCTATTTCCTTTATAATCATAGATTTTAGAACATCTACAGTTCATTTGTTAAATATATAAAATTTCTTTTACAGCTCTATGAAAAAGTTGCGCTGCTTCTGACAAATTTAGGTAAGTGGAACCTTTTTTATTTCACAGTATAGTACTGTGGTCTAGAAAGTATGTTTCAAAGCTTTCTTTCTCAAATACTGCTGAAAAAAAATATTCACTTTATTTTAAATTGTGTACAACCGTTTTTCTTTGCCCTCAACAGAACATTTTAAGTATGTCTAGTAATTGGAGGATCTTTTCTACCTAAAACTTTAAAACCTGTCACAAATATTATCTGTCATGAGTTAGAGTAATTAAGTTTTCTCTTCATACACAAAAAGATAACATCACATAAGTACCTATGTATAAAGTGTCCAGTATCATTTAGATAAGTGTTCCTTTGCTATTGCCTATAATTTTAATACAATAAAATTTAAAATGTGTTTAATTTTCAGCCAGGAATGGTGGCTCATGCCTGCAGTCCCAGCTACTTGGGAAGCTGAGGCAGGAGCATTGTTTGAGCCCAGGAGTTTGAGACTAGCCTGGGTGATATAGTGAGACCATATCTCAAAAATATATATATATATTAAGTTTTCGATGCTATAAAAAATCATAGCAAATTTTGCTTTGAAGACTAGGAGCCTTTTATCAGGAATATAGGCAGCCAAACCATCACTGATATTTGTAGAAATAGCATTAATCTGGACAAATCACCCTAAGAATATTTCTCTGACCCCATAAAGCACCTTAACAATCTGGTAGCCAGCAATGAGTTATACATTTACCATATTTTTCAAGATAAAGATTTTGTCCCAGTTTTATTAACAAGGTATTAGTCATTGTGCTCTATGCAGTTTGAGAAAATTACATGTTCCCACATATAAATTGCTTTAATGCATTCCATGTATAGCTTGTTCAGAGGGGCAAAAAAATCACAAAAGTCCTTTTATTTATAATAATCACTATAAGAATAGATACTATTTATTGAACCTTTCTATGCGCCAGATATAGAGCTAGGCATTTTACATTATCTCTTTTAATGTCATTGAAATCTTCCATTGCCAGCACTTCTGGCCCAAAAAGATAGAAGTTTATGTTTATGGACGAAGTAAGTGCCCATTGGTAGATTGCGTTCAGTGGCACTTTGGTGCAGACTGGCAAAAATGCCACTGGAGATTCAGTCCTGGCCCACTCATGCTTCGAACACCTGGGAACCCTGTGGCCAGCAACCCAGGAGACCATTCCATGTAACCAGAGGGTCGGCAGCAGAAGCGAAATGAAGCTAAAACCCTTTAAGAATCCTTCGCCTTTTCTGCCCCCAACAGCAGGACCACCTTGTTTTGAAGCTGACATCTAAACCATTTTAAATCAGATTCTCTCCCTTCCCTTCTCAGATATGTTCCCAGAAAGTATGTTGAGTCATAATTCACAGAAAAGGAATTGGTGGGGTGAAGTGTTAATTGAGCAATTAGAAGCTCAGGGCAAATGGAAACAGAGAAAATGCTGTCCCATTCAATGCATTTTCTTAGACATTGTTTGAGGTGAGCATGCAGCTCCCGGGGAAGGATAAGTGCATTTAGCATGAGATTTCTAGCTGGAGGTTTGATCTTGAGGGCAGACAGATCCATGCTTTGGTTTACATCACAATGTCCAAATGCTTTATGGAAGTTGAAATACAAGGAGACAAGAATTGGCCTCTGACTGAGGTCAGGAAATCATAAGGCACAGATGGTGATGTGCAGTAAAAGCCCTGAACATGAGGTCATCTGTGTGGAATTTGTGAGTGAGGATGGAAGATGGTGGGTGAGGATATAGGCGCAGGATCAGATACTGCCAGCATCTGTGATAGGGACCTGACTCGCTCTTACACAGCAGGCTGACATTGGCCCTGGGATGGGAAGTCAAGACCAAGGAATTATTAGGGGGTGGGAGGGGGTCTGACTCCACCCAGGGGCAGGAACCAAGAGGAAAATGAAAGGCCACTGCAGAGAGATGGGACTGGGAAGGAGGCCCCTTCAGCCAGGCTGTCTCTGCTCCGGGATCTCTGGGCATCATTCTGGATGTCCAGTCCCCTTGGATAGGTCAGAACCACTTCTCATCAGATCCCTGCTGGGGCTAGTCTGTGAGCTTGAGGATCCTATGGAAGGTCCATTCCACCACACGCGGTCACACGCCAAACTGGAGTCTCCTGCGGCAGCAGTCTCTGCCCTGTCCTGCGTGTGGGCAGAGGGAGAGAGGGCGTTGAGAGGGGTCCGATTCAGCCTCTCAAACTCTGCTCCCCTTTTATCCACAGAACAGCCTCGCACGGAGTCCGAGTGGGAGAACAGCTTCACCTTGAAAATGTTTCTTTTTCAGTTTGTCAATCTGAACAGCTCTACGTTTTACATTGCATTCTTCCTTGGAAGGTAAGAACCTACCCCTTTGCACCTCCCAAAGCCAAGGACAGAAGACTCGGAGGTCACTGACCAGGGGTGATAGAAACCCCCCCCCTTTAGGGTGATTTATACAAAGTGTAAAAAGAGCAGAGCATCTTCCTCCTTTTTCTTCCCAAACCTCAAAGCCACCTCACATCCCAAGGAAATAGTCTTCACTCAAGAGTGCCTGTGCACCTTTTATTGCTAAGGTAAGCAGATGAAAATAGTTTGCACACGTGAGTGATGCCTTGAGAACTCTGGCCTCTGTCTGCACCTGAATCAGGCCCCTGGATTCTCATACCTGAGAGCAGGTGGCATAAAGGGGAGGTGGCCTGCAGCATGCCCTGGACCCCTGACTTCACAGAAGAGGGAAGGACATCCCAACAGGAAAGGGGGAAGAAACAGGGTGCCAGAGGATGCCAGGTGACTTTTAAATCCAGCAGTTATGAGGATGTGGGAAAGCTTCCATATTTAGCGGTAATGTCGCATGAATTCCATTGCATCTGGCAGCGTTTCTGAGGAGGTGGGGAACAGGGAAGGGCCTGGTACAGGGTTTTGGTGAGATGGATTCAGCAGCCTCTCCTCAGTTTACTCCAGTAGCACAAAAGTCTAGTCAAATAGTTTGATAATTTTTTTAAAAGACAGCATTACTATTATTCAAAAAAGATCCAATGTGTTTAAATCCAGGAGTAAAACTGCTGCTTACCCAGGCCAGAACACTTGATATACAACAGGAAATGTTCAAAGTCACAGCAAGCAGCAAGAACTGGCCTCTGCGGTCAGCAGCTGGACAGAAAGACTAGAAGAGAAATGTCCTCTGGAGAATTCTAGAAGCTGTCATCCTGACAGCTCTGGGGGATTTCCTAATTCCTTTAGACCTGATGCTTGGTGTACCAGTAGCTCACATTGGAGGATGTACTAAACTGAACATAATATTCACTGAAAGCTCAGGCCGACAGAATGCTGATGGCTTGTTTTTCTCTGTGTGTTGAAGATTTACAGGACACCCAGGTGCCTACTTGAGGCTGATAAACAGATGGAGACTAGAAGAGGTCTGTATTCTCCCTCATTCCTTGTTTCCTATGGACTCGCATTAAACAGCCTTCGGGCAACTTTGTGTAGATTAGAAACCAGACACCCTTTCTTCCTCTCCATTGATTCTGGAATTTCTGTGTTTGCTTACCTTGCAGTGCCACCCTAGTGGATGCCTTATTGATCTCTGTATGCAAATGGGTATTATAATGGTGCTAAAGCAGACCTGGAATAATTTCATGGAACTTGGCTACCCGTAAGTACCCTAGTATCAGTAATGGAGAGGCAGCATTGCTCATTATTGGCTTTTCTAGGTGTGGCAAGTAAGATAAGCAATGCAGACATATGTGTACCTGGAACTAAGTGCTCACATTTAGACACTCAAAGGCAATCATGAAAATAATAACCATTGGCTCTTTTGGAAGATTTAGTGCAATGCACATGAACAAAAGTGAAGAATTCTTTAAGAAGTCTCTTTGGACCCCTAAATATTGGATACTTGCTTGTAAGCTGCTTTAAATGACACCTGTGACCCTTTGGGCTTCGGCATTCAAGTCCCTAGCTGTGTATGACACATTAATTATACCTCCACTCCACCACCCCTGTGATAAATCAGGAATGGCAATTTTTTAAAAACTATCTTAAATTCAGACTATACAGAAAAAGCTTATGAAAAGGAGAAAAGTTCAGTCAGAACGGAAGTATTTCTAAGTCAGCATATCTTAACCGGTTGACAACAATGGACAAAAACTCGCATCACTTTTGTAAGGATAACCTTGAATTCTGCTGTGTTTGCTCAGTTCCAGTCAGTTAAGTTTTAAGGGGGATGTAAATCATGAATACTTCTATTTCTGCTATAGTTCCACACCTGTCGGTTTCCATGTCAGCGCAGTGTCTGTGTGGGGACATAGAGAACCCCAAGTTTCAGGAAGGACCACTCAGCCAGAATAATTAGCTGAAACCTGGTTCACTTCAGAAGGTCTTTTCTTAGCTCCCTGTCAGAACCCATGCCAGTAAGTTTCTATTCTTAGATTTATTTTTAGAAATCTTATTCCAGGTATTTAATGTCCCCTATAAATCTTTTTTTAAATAAAACATAACACACACACACAAAAAAAATTTCAGCTTTAAAGTATAAACCATAATCCAAATGATATAGACATCAAGGGAGCTATGGACATAGGGCAAAACTGTGAAGTAGCCAGTGTTTGTCTTTGATACTCATTCCTTTTCTTCCTTTATTTTGCATATTTTTGTTTTGGCATTTCTACTCCTGGATACCCTCAACTTTTTCCTTGCCCCCTACAGAACACAGACCTCCCTCTCCCACATTTCCTCACGCTTTCCCACATTATAAAACACAATCCTGAATACTGCTAAGGATTAATGTGCTAACCTAACCAGTGTGTGGTTCTTCTTACTGGAAGAGCCCCTGTTGAGCTCCAGCCAAAAGCAGAGAAGTGCAGTTATGGAACTGTGACAGCCACGTGCCAAGACAGGAAGTATTTTGTGAGCTTGCAGGTCTTTTAAGCCCCTGAAGTCAGACTATGCAGGTCAGCACCCCTCCAGTAAGATTGATTGAGGGTCTTAAATTAAGCCACGTAAGCCAAATCTTCCTCTCCTCAGATATCTGGGTGTTGCTTTTATACTGGGGGGGGGGCCTCAGTTTATAGATATTCTCAGTCCTCTATTTAATCCTCACAGGCAACGCCAAACATGAGACAGTTTCATGAATCATTAAAATAAATTAATCGATCATTCTATTTACTTGCAAGTAGAACTGCTTGAAATATAGACTCCATTATTATTTTCTTCCTAACCCAAGAGTTTATTTTCTTGATAGCCTGTCCTGAATTTTTCTAAAGCGTGGTTCTATATTCTAACTCTTTCTTATTATGTAAGTCTCATGAACAGTTCCATTGTTTGTAAGAAATTGATCTTGTCGCACAGGTTAATTCAGAATTGGTGGACTAGAAGAAAAGTACGACAGGAACACGGGTCTGAAAGGAAAATAAGGTTCCCACAGTGGGAAAAGGACTATAACCTTCAGCCGATGAATGCCTATGGACTCTTCGATGAATACTTAGAAATGAGTATGGACATATTCTATTTTATGCTATTAATGATAAATATAAATTTTGTATCTCTGTCTATATTCAACAAAACGTACACTCATTAACATCAAGGCCATCCGTGTGTAGGGATTTCTGAGCTAAACACAGAGGAAGCAGCGTCCTGCTTAAACTATGCTACAGTGTCATGTAAGCAATCAGCTGTCTCTAGAATCAAACCAAAGCTCTCTCTTAGCATGTATCTAAGACCATGGGCTTTGGAAACAGATTACCTGCGTTCAAATCCCAACCCTACCATTTGTTAACTGTAACACCTTGGGCAGTTACTTAATCTCTTTTCATCTCAGTTTTCTCATCTTTAAAGTGGGAATAACAGTAAGAATAATCGCATCATGGAGTCTTTGTGTAGATTAAATGATTCATGCATGAGAAGGGATTGGAACGATGCATGGCTCACAGTGTATACTTTGTACGTGTTAGCTATATCATTAGTATTATTATTCTCTTATTCTTCTTATCTCCTGGGGGGGGGGAGCTAATAAAATCCCTTAACAGAAATATTGAGAGTGTGTATGTGTGTGTGTGTGTCCTTTAAATTATGTTAAAATTCTATAACATAGAGGTAGAAGTGGGGGCAGGGGTGAGCAAGATACATAACTTCTGAAGGAAGCATTTCTTTCTGAGCAAATCTGAAAATTAAAGGAGTTGTAGAATTGATGCTTATTGTTTCTTAGATTGCTTGTGTTCTAAGTATCTACTCATATCTTTAGAGTTTCAATTATAGAATGGCAGAATGATATAACTTGGAGAAGAAATCAATTTGGGCATTAAAAATAAACTTAATAAAGATAATTCATTAGGAAAACTAACCACTTTGAGGTCTCTTAAAGGACTTTTCTGCCATAAAGAAGGAAGTGAACAATGATGGTATATTGAGTGCTTTACAAAAACCTTTTATGTGGATAGAATTGGTAGTGCTCCAAATACTGAAGTATCTCTGCAACATGAAACAAATCTCAGAACCATCACAAACAGACTAGTGAATCCTAACTGCTCACTTCTGTTCTTGTTGTTTTTGTTACTTTCTTAATGACTTCCTCGCTTTGTTATATTTTTTAAAATATATTCACTGAAGTAAAATATATAGTGAGAAAAGAGTATAAATCACAAGTGTGCTTATCAATGAATTTTCACAAATTTACACACAAGTATAACCAAATCTATGTAGATGAGGGTTTGGCAAACTACTGTCCACAGGTCAAATTCATTGCATCGCCTGTTTTTGTAAATAAAGTTTTATTAGAACATGGCAATGCCCATTTATATACATATTACCTATAGCTGCTTTTACATTGTAATAGTAGAGTTGAGTAGTTGTGACAGACTGTATGGCCTGCAAAGCCTGAAATATTTACCATCTGGCTTCTTATAGAAAAAAAATTTGCCATCTTGCAAGCTAGATCAAGAAATAGAATATTGTCAGTATCAAACTTCTTTGTCTTCTCTCCCATTTGTAACACACTCCCTAACCATTTTCCTGATTTTTAATACCCTATATTAATTTTTTTGGTCTCTATGTAAATGGAATTATAGAGTAAATACTCTTTTGTAACTGGCTTCTTTCATTCAATGTCGGGTTTATAACATTCTTCGATGTTGCTACATATAGTAAAACTTCATTTTCGTTGCTGTATAGTATTCCTAGGATGTAGACCTGAAGCAAAATTATGAAACAGGCAGAGTTCATCTTTGACACTCACCTACCTCTTTCCTTTTAGTAGTGTGGGGGTTTTTTGTACTTTTGCTCACAGATATATCCCAACTTTCTCCCCTACCCCCATCATAGACCCCATCAGTCCCAATCCCTCAACCCTCTCCCATGGAATGTGTTCCTAGCAGTCTAGGTGTTAATGTGCTAGATAAATGCATTTTAATAAAAGTCAAAGCCTTTGTCAAGTTTGAATCAAAAAAGGCAAATTTACTTGGGGAAGTATAGGCAACAGTGTGCCAATAGAGGACTATTTTATGAATTTACAGATCTTCTAGGCCCCTGAAAATAAGAATGTACCACGATTTATCCATCCTTTCTACTGGTGTAGACACGGGTTGTTTTCAGGGTTAGGATCTTATAAATAATACTGCCATGCACATTTTTGTGCATGTGTTTTGACTAACATGGGTTCATATGTCTGTTGGGAATTTATATAGTGTGGAGTTGCTGGGCCATAAGATATGAGTTTGTGGATATTCAGTAGACATTTGAAAATGGTCTTCAAAGCAGGATTGTGTCAATTTACACTCTGACTAGCAATATAAGAGCTCCAGTTATTTTACATACTTACTAAAACTTGTATCAGTCATTTTAAATTTTAGCCATTATGGTTGACATGTATCAGTATCTTATCATGATTTTAATTTGAAATTTTATGACAATTAATGATGCTAAGCACCTTTCATATGCTTAGAGTCATTTGAATATCCTCTTTTGTGAATTTACATTCAAGCCCATGTTTTATTGGGGTCTTTTTTCTTAGTGGTTTGTTCATTTGTCATTTATATATTCTGACATGAGTCCTTTGTCAGATAGATATGTTGCAAATAAAATATTCTTTCCCAGTTAGTGGCATGATTCTCAATCTCTTAATGGTATCTTTAAATGGACAGAAGTTTTATCTTTGTTCTTCTTCAATATTGGTCCCATGTGAGTTTTAGAATCAGATTTCTAATTTCTATAAACATTTTACTGAGATATTTGTTGGGATATTCATGTATATGCATATAAAAATATAAATAAATACATTGCAAGGATACATGCAAAAGTCATGTCAGCTTGTTGCCTCTGTAAAGGAAGAGGAGACCACTGGAAAGCAGATATAAAGGGGACTTTAGCATTTTATTTATTTTATTTCTGAAAAGATTTGAAGCGGGCATGACAAAGTGTTACCACGAGTTAATACTAACTCTTTCATGGGTATGTGGAAGTTTGTTCCATGATTCTCTGTGCCTTTCAATGTTTAAAAGTTTTTTCAAATGATATTTTAAAGTGTATCTACCTCTATCCTACAATAAGTCTCTTCCCCCATTGGACCCCATCGAGAAAGCAGCAGTTAATGGACAACGTAGTGAATCACTTTAAGACCAGTATCATGTAGGTCACATGTGAAAGCAATTGTTTGGTTGGATTGTAGGCCATAATTAATATTTAACTAAATAATTAAGTTTGTTTTTTATGTCAGGTAAATAAAAACTATGAATGAACTAAACATATTTTCTTTTTAAGCTTCCATTATTTTCATTATAAGCACAACCTTAAAGAACGACTCTTTAGTGAGTCTTACATCTTTCTGTCTATAACATCCAGTATTCTTAGTGATTGTAAGAGTCATCTTTCACAGTTTTATTTCTACCTGATGGGTTTTCTTTACTTTCCTGGCCTTTATTCATTGTAATTATGTCAGTCACCAGCATTTATCTGTAAGTGATTGACAGGACTAACAAGTCCTTTCCATACACAAAACCCCTGTCGTGGGTAAGTCAGAAACAGAAATATAAAGAAGTTGCCATTCCTACCTTCATGAATCCCAGTGCAAGAGGGGGAATAGATGGGCAAAGAACCACAAAATCAAGACAAAGTAAATTTTATGGTGGTGACCAGAGTTATAGGAGCTACAAAAGTAGGCAATAGTTAATTGCAATTACAGAAAGTTCCACAGTTGGGTACATTTGAGCTCACCCTTGAAGGAAGAATAAAATTTCATCAGAGGACTAACAGAAACCACAAGTATGTATACGATGTGTTCCCATAAAACCAGAAGTCAAATGTGCCCAGACTTGAGTTTTGTTGAGGAAACTCTCCTGGAGTGTGGGGTCTATTTGGACATGAGGCTTGGAAGTTTGCTTGGAGTGAAATTATTGAGACCCCCTAAATGGCATGGTGAAAAGTTTGGTATTTATTCTGTAGCCAATGAGAAACTACTGAAATGTTTTGTGTAGGGAAATAACGAGTGATGGGCTTGAACCAACATTTTAGGCACACTGACAGCAGTGTGATGGGGGAGGGAGTTGAAAGTTTGTAGGCAGAAAAGCCAGTTAGACCATCAAGTCTGAACTAGAGCAGGGACAGTGGAGAGAAGGGAGAAAGGAGAAACCTTCTAAAGGGTAGTTGTCAGGAGTTGGCCGCTAATGGTTCTGAAGGCTCAGCTAGCTGAGACCTGGTTTTCACATGGGATGGGACGACTCTAAGGGGAGCAAGGACAAGAAAGGAGGAACAGGTTTAAAGGATGAGATTGAGAGATTAGTTTGGAGAGTGCTGTTCTGTAGCATACCAACAGACCACTGGAAATTCCCTGAGAAGAATCAGGGTTATAGAGAAAGAATTAAGAATCCTTACAAAAGGATAATGATAAAGTCATGGGGGAGTGGATGGATTCACCCAAAGAAAGAGGGTAGTCAGGAGAAAAATAAAACCAAGGGTGAAACAGAGGGGAATGCCTCCATCTGTTTGGTGGCTGAAGAGCCAGGTAGCACAGGTGCTAAGTGCGACTATGACCAAAAAAGTATTTGGTTCAATATATGACTGGATATTTTTTACTATTTTCACTTTTTAAAACTTATTAGAAATTAACCAGGCCGGGTGTGGTGGCTCATGCCTGTAATCCTAGCACTCTGGGAGGCCGAGGCGGGAGGATCGCTCAAGGTCAGGAGTTCGAGACCAGCCTGAGCAAGAGCAAGACCCTGTCTCTACTAAAAATAGAAAAAAATTAATTGGCCGACTAAAAATATAGAAAAAATTAGCCGGGCCTGGTGGCACATGCCTGTAGTCCTAGCTACTTGGGAGGCTGAGGCAGAAGGATAGCTTGAGCCCAAGAGTTTGAAGTTGCTATGAGCTAGGCTGACGCCATGGCACTCTAGACTGGGCAACAGAGCAAGACTCTGTCTCAAAAAAAAAAAAAAGAAAGAAAGAAAAATTAACAGCAACAAAACAATGATTAACACATATTTAGCATTTGCCTTCTAGTCTCCTGGCCATCTTTCTTGAAGAGATGTCCCCTGCGCTTCTGTATTGGAAAAATAGAGCTTAAGACAATGACATATTCAGATCGTGATCCTTTTGGAAATAGTAGTAGAAAACCAATACTCTCTGTTTTGTTTTTTTCTTTTTCTATTTTCTAGTTCTTCAGTTTGGATTCACAACTATCTTTGTGGCAGCTTTTCCCCTAGCACCACTTCTAGCCTTACTGAATAACATAATCGAAATTCGACTTGATGCTTACAAATTTGTCACACAGTGGAGGAGACCTTTAGCTTCAAGGGCTAAAGACATAGGTAAGTTGTATCGGGGTGTGTTTTTCGAAAAACAAGAAAAGCCACCAACTTTAGATTTTACTTATTGTCTCCATGTAAAATGATTCACCTTATTTTTGTAAAAAAATAATTATATTCGTTTTAAATAATATTAGACAAAAATAAAGTTGCCTGTTTGGAAGTTTATAATTTCCAGTGCTAGAGAATTTGTGCTTAAATAGATTCTCAAGTTGGTTATTTCTATCTTAAGACTTTAGAATCTAAAATTTTGATTTATTATCACTTCCTTTTTAAAATAGATCTTCCACTCGCTAAACTTTGTCTTGCTCTTTCCTAAATGTTTGCCTGATTTACATGAAGCATTATCTGGTTTTTCTAATGGCAGAGATGAGCTTGGTCTTTGTCTAGAGATGTTGAGTTGAGTCAGAGTCAGCCTTCTTGAGAGTCAGCTGAGATCAGAGACTTTTATTCATTTCTATACCCCATGCTTAGTGCAGGGCAGGCAGGCACTCGGCCAGTGTGTGTGGAAGAGAATTGAATGTGGACATTCTTGCTCACTGTGGTCTTTTAACCTCCATATTACAAACACACGTTCAGTGAGCACCTACCCTGGGTCAGTGTGTCAGAGGCTGGGCCCACAAAGATGAAGAGGAAGGGACCCTTAAGGAGCTCCCGGTCTGGCATCGTGTGTCCTGATCTTAGATGGTGCTTTGGCGCCTTATCACTGACCAGAATTTTCTGCCTTATGTCTGATCCCGACTATTAAGTCATGAGCACATTGGCACTTCCACAGAAACTGCTTCACTGCCAAGGAGTTTGCAAGCACAAATTCTCACTCCTGGTTGCAAGTGTCAGTATTTAGAAAGAGGAAGGAAAAAACCCACTGAAAGGACTGTTGAAAACGAGTTACCTCCATTGTGTTCATACTTACTATGAAGTAATAATGCTGTAGTGTTTGGAACTAAAAAAATACTTCTGTTTGAATAGGAATTTGGTATGGAATTCTTGAAGGCATTGGAATCCTCTCTGTTATTACAAACGCATTTGTCATAGCGATAACGTCTGACTTTATCCCTCGCTTGGTGTATGCATATAAGTATGGACCTTGTGCCGGCCAAGGAGAAGCTGGGCAAAAGTAAGTTTACTGTAAAGCCATTATGAAATCTCTATTTCCTACCCATTGTGTGGTATTGAACACTCAGACAGAATCCTTTGCACTGGGGAATGTGGAACATAAGCCCAAGATGAGAGAGGCCTGTGGTAGGGAAGATGGAATTATGACACAATAACATTATCCGCCAAAGAAAACACATCCTAATCTACTGAAGGCTTGGGGTGGGTCGTACAAGTCAGACAGGTTTTAGATGCAGTCCAGAGTGAGAGCAGCAGTTAACCATTTTCCTCAGCCCCTGACTTCTGCCCACTCTGAATTCAGAAACATGTGGTATGCTAATGTGTATAGCCAAAAAAAAAAAAAAAAGATATATGATGTGATATGTAGTTATGTCATTTTTATGAGTTTGTAAAAGGACAGATACAGGCTGATCCAAAATTTTACATGGGAAATATGGAACCATATACTGAGTACTTAGTGAGTACTCAGTAAATAAATATTTGTGGAATAAGTAAGTGAATGATTTTTTCCTGGCCATTGACCTGACCAGTGTCTATATTAGCCCAGGCAAATTGGGGTAGACTGAACCCTCAGGAGGGCTCAGTTCTCTGGCATTGCCTCAGTGGTTCCTGAGGCCAGGGCACTGTATATCTATCTGATAAAGCCTCCCCAAAATTATAACATGTCCCCTAGCTTTCACTTCTCTACCTTATGAAAAGGACAAGAAGTCTTAACATATTTTTAAAATCTCTGTTTGGCTAAAGCCAAAATCAAATTCTAATTGTGGCATTTAGAGGTCTGTAGGTCAGAGTAGGGTGTGTTTTGGGGTCATAGGGTCTTCTTAATGTCCCAGAAATCAGCCTACTTGAGCTGATGCCTCCTTATACAAGCAGCTCTGCCTCTTGGGTCACTGGTCTGGGCCAAATTAATTTGTCCCCTACAGCCATTGTATAATAATTTGATCAACTCCAAGGAGTAAGGTGCTGCCAGAACAAATCAACTGAATTCATGCAAACCTGGACTGGGTCCAGTTTCATTATTAATCCTTCATAAATGGGCTAAGGACTGGATGATTGAGGAATGTGATAAAGATTTATAATCCAGCTATCCAAAAGGCTTCTATAAAGTTCTTCACTACAATTACCATGTGGCCATGACATACTAATTATCTAGCAATGTTAAATGAGCATATCATCCCATTTTAAAAGAGATTTAAAGACTGATGCTATACTACCCAGGCATTTCTTCCTAATTGCAACTGTGCTTGGTTTAGCCTAAAAAAAAATTTACCGTCACTCAAACCACTTTCACATATGTTTTACATTTGGTTCTCACAACAACCCTGGGAGCGGGACATGCATGATTATTCTCACTTTGACAAGCAGGAAAAGATTAAGAGAGGGTAGGTCCCCAATCACAAGGCAGAGGAACTGTGGGAGCCCACACAAAGGTAGAGCCTAGACTCAGGTGTGCTGCATCCTGTACTGCGTGGCCCAGCCCTTCTAACAGGAATCCATCCCCCAGGGGGTTAAGTCCCATTGGTGATTTTAATTCTTTCCTAACTTCAAATATGGTGGAACCTATCTCATTTTTTGGTTGAACCAAAAACTAAAATGGGAACATTTATGCACTGTTGATGGTAAATCAAAGCTTTAGAATTTTAACAACCCATTAGATTTAGACAATGTTCATGGTGATTAAAGTATGACTTATAGCTTCCTTGCATCTGTTTTATTGGGCTCTCCAGGGATTTTCTTGTCCTTTTCTTTTTGTTTTTTTAATCTTCCCCTTTGAGTTAAGAACCTTCTGCTACTTTCAATTTATACAACTGCCTTTGTCTTCTAATCCATTGGTCTTTTTTCACATCTTCAAATAGTTACATTTGTGTATGTTTCTTCATGAATCTTATTTTCTGCCCCACTGGCCACTCTATTACTTTTCAAACTTTTTTTTCTTTTTCCAATTTAGCAATGCTTTGGAAATGATTTCACTCATAGAGTAGAAGCATATTGCCAATTTTAGAAAGTTCCAGGCTTTGGGGTAGTACAGTGGTTGCTGGTTCATCCTTTTCTCATGTATTAAAGGATTGAAAACAATAAGCAATGAATTCTCATATTTAAATGAATGTGGTCTTCTCAGAAGTTACTTGAAAGAGATATGCATCCTAATCCAAATACTACTCTTGTAAAAAACATTTTCTGAATTCCTTTTCTTGGAAATGCCTTTAGAGGCCATCCACCAGCCCTTTAAGAAAATAGACTTTATAACTTTATACTCACAGAAACCCTTCTTTCGTCTGGTGCTTTTTTTCTTGCTACCTCTCACTTCTCCCTGACCATCAATGTAGCCTCATCTTCTCACTGCTCGCTGGTGGTGGGTCACGGTGAGGGTACGCAGAGCTCCTGCCAGTAAGCTGAGTGACAGACGTGGATCTGCTGCTGTCTGTTACCTTCCTGCTCTAACAGTAGGTCAGTGAGTTGACACATGGAAGCCACTGGCTGAACTTTATACAGCGAGTATGGGAAATCTCATTTCCCCAAATTGATGACAGCCCCAGCTATTTGATGTTGGCAATAGCTTAGATTCTACCACGCTGAAAAGAACTAAAAGTAAACTGTGTAGACAGTTTGGTATTAGCAGTCCCTTTTCTTCCTGGTTATGGAAATGGTATGGAAAGAAAGCTTCCACAGCTGGTGACTATGTGTTTACATACTAGGTCTACATTTAATGCTTTGCACAGGGGAGGAGTAACCACCCATTAAAGACACCTTTTGGATTTATGACTGCCATTACATGAATACGCTTAATAAACAGGTTCAAAGACACATCCTCTTTACTTTTGGGGAGCAGGTGTTGCCCATGAGACAGGTGTTTTGTTTTAATTTAGATTTTCTCAATGGAGTTTTTGAACAGAGCAACCAATGGACAGCAGCTTTAATCTCAATAAAGCCTCAGGGCTGCTTTATGGGATTGGAGTGCAGGAGCCGTGGCGGATATTCCGTTTCAATGCTGGGCCTGTTCTTCACCAGTTTCTAGAGCACCTTTCCCTTCCCACTGCTCCACTCCTGAAAAGAGTGCTAAAAACTGGCTCCCTCTTTGTGACAGCTAATAGTCATCAAGGCTCTCATTTGTTTTCATGTCAAGTTCTAGACATTTCATGGATCAGGGAGAGACAGGACTCCAACTACCCCATCAGCGAGTGGTAGGGGAGCCTGCTGCCAATAGATTAAGACGTTTTATACACCCACTGACCATTCGTTTCACCCGTGAGTGACTGACAAATGGCTTCTTCAGCTTGGTTCATTTTTAAAGCCCAGTGGTTTGTCTTGAGTGAGACGACACACAGAACCTGCGCGCTCTCAGAACTACCTTCGTGTCATCCTTTTGGCTTAGCGTCTATTAATACCAACTTGGGATAATCACTCCAGACATGTTAATGAAGAGAATCTAAAGATCATGATTTATTCATTCAATCAATAATTATTTATTGACCTCTTGCTAGATGCACGAAATAAATAAAATGAATAATTGCCACTCACATTTATCTTACTATAGGCTAAGCACTGTACTACATGCTATACATACATCATTTCATGTAATCCCCACAATCACCCTTTAAGTGACAAAGTGACCTTTGTCACTTAAAGAAGTTGTATAAATTGCCAAGATTGTGCAGCTAGAAAGCAGCAGAGCTAAGGTTTAACCCAAAAGCCTAAGCTTTTAGTACTATACTTCCTCCCAGTACAGAATGCAGGCCATGTGTTCAAGAAGCTTATTATCCCTGGGAAGTCCACACGATAGTTTTATTCCTGGTTCATTCTCGAGATGATGTTCTGCATGTAAAACACTATTTAAAGAAAAATTTATAAAAGATGTATCTAAGAGTGATAATTTCATGCAAAATTTCGAACATTGCTATTTCAGTAAATGTGCGTGTTTACCACAGTGTTCAGCATGTAAAATTCTGTCTAAAGACAATGTATAAAAGATGATTCTAAGAGTGCTATTTTTTTATCATACTTATAAAAACTACTATTTCTTGAATGGAATTCTTAATAGAATGATTGATAGAGTCATTGATTTTATCTACCCATTCAGTCTAGAATGATCGATAGAATTCCTGGTACTTTAGTTTCCCTCTGATCAAATCAATTGAATTCAATATTTGCTTGATTTCTATACTGCATGAGACTCTCCTAGGTCCTAGGATACAAAAATACCTAAGACACCTGCTTTGCTCCCCCAAAACTACAGTCCAAAGGAAAAGACATACATGTGTGCTGCCAACACTAGTACAAGCTCTATGGTAATTGTGAACTAAGTATAGTGGCACTACAGAGGGAAGGAAAGGAGTGAGTCATGCTGACTGGGGGATTAGGATGTCTTCCCAGAAAGGGTGGCATTTCAGTTGGCCACTGAAAGATAAGTACTATTTCCACTTTTAAAGGAAGAGGTAGAGAATTGCAACAGAAAAAGACAACTTGAGCAGAGGTATGAAAGCGTATTATGCACCCAGGGAACATGGTCTAGCATGACTGCAGTATAGCATATGAGTTAGGGAGGGGATCATGTTCACACCATATCATATTTGGGGCATTTTGAGAAAAAAATATATAACATGTCATTAATGAGGGAATGTGTTTATGCGTGTATCATCAATGAAAGAAGCTGTGACTTACATGTAATTCATGCTCATCATGCAATGCTGTCTTTAACCTGTTTCACTGAAGCAGTAATTGGAGTAGAGATGTTCTATATGATTCTGCTCAAAAATGACTGGAACAAAAGAAATAACTTGTTCCTGATTGAACATGCCCAGGGCTGTTTGTGACAAGGCAGGGCCAGCTAAAGGCACTGAGGACTGCAGGGACTTCTAGGAAACAGAGCCTTTAGTGGACTGGATGCAAAGAAAGTGATCAGTGTTCTTATCATAGAATTTGTTTTCTCGTATAGGTGCATGGTTGGCTATGTGAATGCCAGCTTGTCCGTGTTCCGGATTTCTGACTTTGAGAACCGATCTGAGCCCGAGTCTGACGGCAGTGAGTTCTCGGGCACTCCTCTCAAGTATTGCAGGTGAGCGAGGCACTCCTGGCGTGGCTCTGCCCGAGCTGGGCTGGCTGTACAGTGGGGAGGCTTTGCCCCAATAGCCCCTGGGGGCTGAGCGAGTTTAAAGCAGTGATTGTCAACCTTAAGGATGCATTAAAATTGCCTGGAGAATTTTAAAAGCTTCTCTGGCCCAGGCTGAGACCCAAACCAATTAAAACAGAATCTGAGGGAATGGAACTCAGATATCAGTATGGTTAAAGAACCTTAGGTGCGGTCAAAGTTGAGAACTGCTGGTTTAAAAGGAAACATCTAAAAATATAGCAGACAAGCGATATACGCCTGGTCCAGGGACTCGGACAAACAATCTCTAGGTGGTTTGAGCAACAGCTGTGGAGGGCACTTGTTTTTGTTCTGCTTCTCTCTCTTGCCCATATTGTGTAGCATCACAGTTCAAAGGCTGAACAACTCAGATGTATGTGCAAAGACACCCAGCCTGTTACGGTTCCACCACAGTTGCCTCTGCTACACATTCTTGTTCTCTCTCTCTCTCTAAAAGAGGAAACTAAACTGTGCCTCTTGATGTGCATCCACACAATAGCACATGAAGAGGAATTTATTGAGCACCTCCTATGTGCCAGGAACTGTTACTTCATTTAATAGTCACATCCACCTTCTAAGGCAGGCAGTATTGTCTCATCTGACAGATGATTTAACCATTCACTAAATGCTCAATGAGATTACTTGTTACAGCTGTTGAAGTCAAGTTCAAATGGTGTTATACCTTTTCTCTCTAACACTTTGATGTTATAACAATTTTATGGATTTCCCATGAGGACATTTTGGCTCACCTTGTAATAAAAGCATGACAAAGGACAGCCATGGATCTAGGCTCTTTGATAGACCTTTAGTACTGGATCCACTTCAACCCTCGTTTTACAGAAGGGAAATCTGAGGACCAGAGATGGCAACTGATTTGTCTAAAGAGATACCCCAAGGCTAGAGGTAAATTTCAAGGCTCCCACCTTTCATTGCTGTGTTCATTCAAGTAGCTTCATTAGTACACGTGCCACAAGAACATGGATATATATACTTCTCACATGCCACACTGGCCTGGAAGGGACTCTGGACAGAGTCATGATAGTGAGGCTCCAACATGGTTCTTTCTGGCATTAATAAATAATGTCTATGGCTAGTGACTTTTAGCTTTCCATGAATGAAAATCAGATGATCATTCTTTTGTAAATTAACCTCTTAACTTCTTGCTGGAAAATAATCTTTTTTCTTTGCCCATTTTCTTTCCTTTGCCTATAATTGTTGGTTTTTTTTTTTAAGAAATGGGCACAGGCACAGAAACTAGATGTTTGGAACAATAGTAGCCCATATTTACCCACTTAGTCCCAGTGTAAGAAACTAGATCCTAGAGAACAGAAACTGACTTGGCCTGCCTGCTAGAACAGGTGACTCTATGTTCTCACCGTGTGGGGAAGAGAGGCGTAGACCCCACTGACCCCGGGCATGGGCAGTTCCACGAGGACAAGAGAGATGTGCGAAGCCAGGTGCTCCCTGTTTCTATGCAGGGACAGCACATTCTCCACCCCTTTGAAACACTCATACCAAGTTCCCAGGGTCTCATTGGCTGTCAGATCTCATCCAATGCCCTATTTCCTTCTCCCACATGGAAGAACAAGTAAAATGAGGAGAAAGAGTGGCTGGAATGTAACCCAGTACTGCTTCCAGTTGAAAGAATAAGCAATCAAACAACACTAATGGACACTTTCTTTAAGTAGATTTTCCACTTGCTTGTCCAGACCATTTCACACATGAAATTATTTACAATGTAAACATTGTTAGAGGCATATAGGATTCCAAGTATAAAATGATTCAAAATAATATTCATAATAAAAATTATTATTTAAAGGTAAAAACCTTGTAATCATTAGAAAATAAGATAAAATACAGAACCTTTCTCCTCTTTTCTTTCCTGACTCATAATTCTTCCTGCCTGTTTCACATAGTGGCATAAAAGTACATTCCATAGATTATGAATATGAATGGAATTGTTGATACTGTCATCATTAATTTGAATGATGATGGTTTTGTTTAGCCTTTTTATTAAAACTTCCCTAAAGAAAATATTTTTAAAATTTCAATTAAAAATAAGATAAAATATCATTTTAAGCTTTATTCAAAATTTTTAAATTGTGATATATATGTACACATGCACATACACACATACCATCATGAAAAGCATGGGAAAGAAATGGGGGAAAGAAATGGGGGAAAAAAAAGAAAAAAAAAACAGAAACATGGGACTTTTATTTTTAGTCACACAACAGGTGAGGCACCAAGATCAGCTCTCAGGCTTAAATTATCTAAACATGTAGAGAAAATTTTAAAAACACCTCAAATGCATCGATGACCTGGGAAGAAAATTTGATATTGTAAAGCCAAAACTAAATGAAGGCAGAACTTAAGAGTGGTACACAGAGCCTTGCCGCCAACTTTACCCAAAGGCAATTTGCTGAACTGAGTGGGCTGTTTTTCAGGCCTTCTATGGTTAGGGAAGGTCAGAGAAAATATAGAAATGACCAGCCCTTGAGTAAATCTACATATATATTACATAAAACAACTCTAATATAGTCATACTACAGTCTATTATACAGCAATGAAAATAAATGAGCCACATGTAACAGTATGAATAAATCTGAGTAAGATGATAGTGAATAAAAGCAGTTCTAAGAAAACTACATGCAGTAAAATATCCTTTCTATAAAGTTCAAAAACAAACAAAACTAGTATAATATTCACACAAATGTATATACACATACACATGTATGTTAATGATAAAAATGAAATTCAGGATAGGGGAAGCAATAGATGTTAAGAGATTTACTTTATGTTAAGACATAGTATAAAATTATAGTAATTAGTGTGGTAGTGTCACAGGAATGGATAAACAGAAAATGGAATAGAATTGAGAACCAAAAATATATTGGATAATATTTAAAGATGCAATCACAGAAAAACACATACAATATGATTCCATTTACACAGTTCAAAGCAGAAAAACGTAATGCTATTTTATTTAGGAAAACCTGCTTAGGTGATAAAACTATAAAGGAAAACAAGAGGGTGGTTGTCACAGAAATTAGAATAGAGTTTACCTCTTAGGTCGGCTGGGGATAAACCAAGGCATTTCTTTCTAAACCATTGATCATGTTCTGTCTCATCTTGAATGGGGGCACAGAATAGGGGATATGTGAAGTTCACCTGTCATTCTTTCAAGTGTCCATATACTTTTATTTTCACAGTTTAAAAATCAGAATTATATATAGCACTACACCTGGTGCTAAGAACATAATCCTTGTAGGCCAGTCATCCATTTCTCCGATCCTTGGGAAATAGAAGCAGCTTTGGGGCATGCATTTAAGCCAAAAAGGAAACACCCTGCCCTCCCACATGTAAAATTGAAGCCAAGAAATTAAAAGTGTCACTTTCAAAAAACAACTCTTGAGTCACTTGAAAAAATTTCCTCCAAACATTAATGTCACCAGACAGAGTACTTAGAGTCTTTGAAGGTCCTGGACTAAAAGATTAGAACAGTAAAACTTTGACTTTAATAGCTTTGAAACTTGGCTTCATGGCTGTCTCTACAGCAGCAGGGGGAAGTGTTTTCTTTGTACAAGTTCCAAAGAACATGTAGCCATAGTTGTTTTGCAAATAAATAGCACCACATCAAAAACAGAGAAGCAGGACACAAATGACATCTGCACGTGGCCCTTTCCCAAGCCTCTGTCTGATGGCAAAGGCCAGTGGGGTCGAGGACAGGCTAGAGTGAAAACTGAGAGCTCCACTTGCAACTGTCATCTGCAAACTCAGAGTAGAACAGAACAAGCGTGTAAAATTTTTCAACAGGGTGAGACAGAGAGACCCTAATGTTACTGACAGGGAAAACTGACGGTGCAGAAAAGAATTCCCAGCATTAGTGAACACCGTTGTGTAAAAAGGTTAAGGAATCAGTGCTACTGAAACAATTTCAGGTCCTTCCCTTTATAAATATACCTTTGTCTGATAGCCAACCCTCTATACAACAAAAAGGATTCTGCTATTATCCCTCTAGAATATTTACTTGGTCTATATTTGAAATATAGATAGTTGAACAAAGGAATTACATTTGTTATTTTAATTGCGAAAAACACAATTCCCGGTTCTTAACTAGCTGTACTCTGCAAAAAGTAAATGGAGGTTAGAATAGTCCATGTACACTTTTAGCCCTGAATAAAATTATTCTTTCTAAAATTCCATGCATAGGTATTGGACCTATGACAAAAGCAGATAACCATATATTGGAAAGAACAGTGTTTTAGACAATTACCTAATCCTCATCACCATAGAAAGAACCAGAAGTCTTAAGGCACTAACAGTTTCATTCTTAATTTCAGTACCAGCTACTCATCATAAATATCACTTTAATGACAAAATAATCATGATACATTATTGCTACATATCCATATGCACTAATTATAATTAAGATGATGATTGTGATGATGAGGAAAATGGTGACAGCTCATATATTTGTAGTCCTTGATACATTTCAAAGATATTTGGCATAGGAAATCATCCTGTATGCAAATCAGTGCCGACCTTGAGGATAGGCCCTGTCTTATATGAGAACCTGAATAGTCATAACTTTTATTTAGACAAGGGAATTTGATATGTCTTCACAGCAGAACTATTGGAATAACCAGTATTTCTAGATTTCTACATTTTTGGAGCTACTGAAAAGAACACTGGGTTCAAATATGTGAAAATTGTCTGATATTGAACAAGTCACTTTTCAGTTTTTCCACGTGTGATAATAATAATGGTACCTGTAAGGATAAAATGGGGTGACATGGATTAACGTTCCTACATTAGTGCCTGGCCCCTAATCAACAGGTGGTCAATGAACATTTGTGCCATTTGATGCTGACTCAAAGTGATGGCCGGAGAACACATTTGGAAGTGCTTTCGTGGCAAGGGGTAGAAATCCAGTATAAACTGACTCAACCAAAAAGAAATTTGTGGATTTAGGTAACTGGGAGAGTTAATGGCTGGTATGAACTTTAGCAATGACCAGATACCAAGAGGACAGTAACTCTCTGCTTTGCTCCGTTGACTTCCTTCTCAGGTGGCTTCATTCTCTCTCCATACGGTTTGCGGTGGCCACCGGCTGTTGCAGGCTTTTACCTTCTGTGGGCTTAGCGATAGTTGCTAAGTGACGGTTCTAGCAGAAGTCCTGGTGATGAGTTTCACTGCTCAGGTCTGGCTCATCTTTTGAGTTGGGGTCAGGCAGGGGGGCAAGCCCTATCCAACCCACGTAGATGATTCCCCAGAGGAGAAGAGATACTCTTTTATCAGAAGAAGAAAATGCTGGACAAACAAAATGACAGATATCTAGTAGACAGAAACTTCTCTCCCATTGAATGAGGACTACAGAGTGGGAATGGAAGAGACTTGGGGATTAGAAAAATCAGAGTTGGGAATGCAGCATTCTCCTGTGTCTTCACAGATACCGGGACTACCGGGACTCTCCTCATTCACTGGTGCCCTATGGCTACACGCTGCAGTTCTGGCACGTTCTAGCAGCTCGACTGGCTTTTATCATTGTGTTTGAGGTAAGTTTTCCCAACCACGTCCTTTATTTCCCTTAACGTAACGAAGTCACTAGGAGTAATGAATAAAAATAAATGGTGGGCACCAGCAAATTGGTATTAACAGATCAATACCTAAGTGGAAATATAGAAACAACATTTATCAGATGTCAGGCAGGTAGGGGGGAGGGGATGGGTATATACATACATAATGAGTGCGATGTGTACCAACTATGAGATGGACACCCTTGAAGCTCTGACTTGAGAGGGGAGGGGAGGCAAGGGAAATATACGTAATCTTAACATTTGTACCCCCATAATATGCTGGGAAAAAAATCAATAAATTAAAAAAAATATTTTAAATAAATAAGTGGTGGGGGACTTTGAATGTGATTTTCTACTTCCAGAAGTAGTATAGTCATATTATGTAATTTCTCTTTTATCTTTTTTTTCTTTTCCTTAATGAAAACATTTGAATTATCCAGGAAATATTTGAAAGTCCATTGTTGGTTGTTAATGAACAAGTCAGAACTCATTGGTCCTAAATTTAATACTCTAGGGCCACAGTTTTTAAACTTAGTTCTAAACACAGTTCTTCAACATAGTTCTAAAACTGCATTTTTCCATCTCAGAGATTCTGATACATCATGTCTGTGACTTGCTTCTCACAAGCACTCCGAGATTATTCTGATGCAGGTGTTTAAGGACTGTAGTTTAAAAAACATTGGCTTAGGTATGACAAGTGGTACCTCTGGGTAGCATTATGGCATTCTTTGTATTCAAGCACACAAATAAGTTTTCATTGTCTAAGATCCAGAATGGAATTATAAGGTAAAATCTACCTAGTATTATAATATTTTATATTATATGTCAATAAAAATATGTAATCTATTTTCTTTAAGTCTTTAAGAAAATTGCTATATAGTTTATATTTCTGTAACTCTAGCCATTAATAGAAATGTCATCTCTTGTCACATTTATTGGAGTCATATTAATGCAAGCCAAGGTTGCCTCTTGGCTTGGACCAGAAGAACTCTTTGAGACTATTCGCTGCTTTTACCTTCATTTCAGGGAACCAAGAGAAAGCAATATTAAGCTGCTCTTCTCTGGAAACTAGCTTATCAATGACTGAGTCTCTCTTTAAATGAGATTTTTTTTTTAATGAGGCAAGGTCTCACTCTGTTGCCCAAGATAGGGTACAATGGTGTCATGATAGCTCACTGCAACCTCAAACTCCTGGGCTCAAGTGATTCTCTTACCTTAGCCTCCCGAGTAGCTAGGACTACCGGTGTGCACCACCAAGTCAGACTAATTGTCCTATTTCTCATAGAGACAAGATATCATTCTTGCTCAAATTGGTCTCAAACTCCTGGCCTCAAGCAATCCTCAGCCTCCCAAAGTGCTAGGAGTACACATGTGAGCCACCATGCCCAGCCTAAAGGAGATATAACCTGTCACCATCTTAAAGTTTTTCAGACAGAATAAAATGATGAGTCACAGTAGGTGATTATTTGGTTTTTCAAGTAGAACTTTTCACTTCTTTTCAGTATTTTATTATAACTATTTAAAAATACTAGAAATTACACAGGAAACTTCATAATTGGCAGAATCATGTACCATCCATGCATCATCAAATTTATCAAGTTTTGCATAAAATGAAGAATACTTAGTGGTATCATTTGAACATTATTTAGTCTTTATTTAGTACCTTAGAGTTGTAAGGGCTTTAAATTATCATCTGCATCTGGTACTTTATTAGTTCGTAGGTTGTAGTTGAACAGAAATGACCAGTGATTCTAAAATTCCAGCTATTAATATTTCAGGTACAGAATTTGTGACAGTTTACCAAAAGGAAAAAAGTTTCTTCCTGAAATGATCCCTTCCTTAGGCTTATAGATAATTCTTACAATCAAGATTTGCAAAGATTTGACAGTCTACACAGCATTTTTTAAACATTTTCTTCTAATTCTCACAATAATAAGCATTTTATAGATGAACAAAATGAAGCTCAGAAAAATTAAGTGACTTATCCTCAGGTAGACAGACAGCTCTTAAGCAGTAGAAGCTACTGAGCTGGGATTCACACCCGGGTTTTCTGATTCCACAGTATAAGTTCTCCAGCTTCCTCTAGATTCTCTGCATTCCTCTCCGCCTTCCTGACTCCCCTTCTTAGTCCCTAGGTGGTGCCATCAGACCAAGTTCAGATCTCACCTACCTTTTGCTCTTTCATTACATACACCTCCCCTGGCCCCTTCCCACTTTCCAGGTACCCTAGAGGCTCCATGTCCTTCTTGAGCCAACTCCCAAAGTTCATCCAGACTAAGGATGGACAATAGACCTGACTCTGTTGCCTTCTCCTCTGTGTTTTAGCACCTCGTATTTTGTATAAAGCACCTCATTTCATATCTGATCCCAGACCTCCCAAAAGACCTAAGGGATCGAATGAGAAGAGAAAAGTACTTGATTCAGGAGATGATGTATGAAGCAGAACTGGAACGCCTCCAAAAGGAACGAAAGGAGAGGAAGAAAAATGGAAAAGCACACCACAACGAGTGGCCGTGACCAGGTAGGTGCGAGGGGTTCTCATGACCGGAAACCACTCCAAGGTTGAGAGAGGGTGCTTTGGACTTCCTGAAACAAAGCTCGCCATTGTTGCAAAAACAGGGATCAAAATAAACTCCTTAAAGACCAGCTTGTTTCTAATTTGGTAATAGCAAATGTAGCTTGATCTTCCCTTCCCACACACCTCCTGCAACTCTTCTCTGCCTCCTTGCCAGACTCTGGCCTGCCAATCAAGGTCTTCATGAGTTGGGCCAGGTGTTCCCTGAAATTAAACCTTTCTCTCCCTTATACTCCAGGCAGGCTGTTCGCTTTAATACTCTCAGGGAAACATGCCCCTTCTTTCTGGTTGAAGTCAGCCTTTCCTCTCACCCCTGATGGGCTTCCCTCCATCATTCACTTACTGTTTCCTTCTAGGCTGATCCAAGTCATACTATAGCCTCTAAGGTTTCCTCCGACTCATCAGCCCATTGAAACTTATTCCTTCTAAATGTCTCTGGTTAACTGCCATCAGTACCAAATGTATTAAAATATACTTATTTGTATTGTTAATTTATGATTTTCAAATAGTTATCAGGATTCCCCACACACCATCTAAGCATCCTTAGGGAAAGCTGTATGGATCATAATTTTATTCTTCCAACTGGCTAGCACAGCGTTACGCACATGGCTCCTATTAAATGCACATTCAGGTAGTAGTTCAATGGCTTAAGGCTGAATACATTGTAAGACAGCTCCATAATATTCCCACACATCCCATCAGAAAGTTATTCTGAAACTTTCTCTCTAGCAAGTCAATTATTAGCTGCATGACCTGGGACAAGTCACTTAACTTCTCTGGGCCTGTTTCCTCAAAGATGAAATGTTTAGATGAGCTATTCATTCTGATACTCTGTGAGTCTAATTTTATTTCTGAATCTCATTTGCCTTCCTTGCCCTTCAATTCTCTTTTCACCACTTAATTGAAAACTTGGAAGACATTTTTCAAAATCTGGCCTCCAAAAGAAAAGTGAGATACATAGGAAAAAAGTATAGTTTTCACTTTTCCTGTAGGTTAAGATGCAGCGATATCTGCCCAGATGTTTGTTGTTAAGTTAGTTGTCTCAACCCAGATCCGTGTTTGGAGTCCAGAAGGTTATTGTGAGTTGGATACGAGGGTGGGTTTGGAGGAAATAACCAAGACCCCACAGGGTTAAAAGTCATACACAATTGAATACTAACCTTCCTGTCAATTCCAGAGTAGGCTTTAGAGGCAAGAAATGTTTTGCTACTTAGTAATTTTATTATTTTCCAGATCTGCTATTTGGCTCTGTTACCTTGGCAAAGAAAATCTTAACTTTTTTGAGCCTGCCTATTTGGCAGAATGAATATGCCCCTGAAGGAAGGGAATGTATGTGAGACATTTACTACTTAATAAAGTAAGCTGTAGAATACCGTGCGGGATTTGTGTCATTGTTAAGTGTCATATTATAGTCCTCCTGATTCGAGACCTGGCTTTTCCAGTCTGTGTCTGTATGATCTGGGGCATTCATGTGGATTCAGTTTCTACCTTTGCAAAAATTGGACTAAACCATACTTTAAAAACCTTTCCAGCTTTAACCTTCTGAGATTCTGAGATTTGCTCCAAGCTTCTGGCCCCCACACCCATTCTGATCACCTCTTCTCTGGCTCTTGTCAGTCTTTGGAGGAGAAAGGCTGACTGTGTCCAGAGGCTTGGGCTAGGGTGGGAGGCAGACATTAGTGAAGAGAATTGTTCCTGAGAGCTCCAGGAGCCAGAGACCAAAGTGCAGCGGCGGCAGTATCCACACCTTGGGGATGTCCTGGACTGTAGGGCCAATGACCAACCGAGAGTTTCTTCTGGCCTCACCACTACTGGCTACTTTCTTCCCAAAGCCGCAATTTCTAGTTTGCTTGTTTTTTAAGAGATAGGGTCTTGCTCTGTTGCCCATGCTGGAGTGGAGTGGCATAATCATAGGTCACCATAACCTCGAACTCCTGGGCTCAAGAGCTCTCTTGATCCTGCCTCAGCCTACCAAGTAGCTAGGACTACAAGCACACACCACCACACTTAACCAGTTTTGTTTTTTTTTCTAGAGACAGGGGTCTCGCTATGTTGCCCAGGGTAGTCTTGAACTCCTGAGCTCAAGTGATCTTCCCACCTCAGCCCCCTATATTGCTGGGATTACAGGAGTGAGCCACCGTGCCCAGGCCATTTCTAGTTTTTGCTTGAAAGGGATAGTGTTTACCTCTCTGTCCCTATTCCCCCAACAGTAGGCAGGATGTCGTGTTGCTTCAGACTGGCTTTCTGACTCAGTCTGTTCATCTGTAAAACAGGCATGATAATGTTTATACCGTACCTGACTCAGTATGGAGTTACAAATGCTTTGATGATGGTGAGTACAAACTATTCACATCATGTTGTTAAGCAATTGTGTGCACATAGGATCTTAACGCCTTCTTTTCTCTTTCCAGATAGTAGTTCCTTTCCAGGCCAAGGACCTGAATTCCGTTTACTTCTCCCAGCTGTGCAAAAGCACATCCAAGTGAATGACTAAAAATGCAAGCGCAGTGCATGTTGCAGACACAGGCTGCCGCGAGGGGTCAGCACCCAGTGGAGGACTGGCATTGCAGTCACGCTGCTGTGAAGTCACGTCGCAGTCCGGCACACAGCTGCTATCTATCCATAGACCATTCCTGACCAAGCAAGCATGCACATTATGGGCAGTTACATTCTCAAGTTTTTAAAACCAAGGGGAACTTGTATACTGGGCCTGTTTTTCAGCCTGTTTGCTACCTTTTTTGCATTCTATCCTGTGTGAATTTTACAGACACTGGGCTAAAAAGGGTATTTGGACACCTGGATACACATTCCTAGAATGTCATCATATGGTCCTAATTCCATGTCACCAACGACACAGACAAGACCCTGTTTACAACTTTTTCTTTCCTTTTTTTTTTAATTTCAGATCTTTCTGAAAAGATTATTGTATATGACATATCTATAGCTATGTGTATGGCCATAGATGTATTTCTGTGTGTACATATGTATAGTCATGTATTCCTACATATGTACATACAAATACAGAGATATATAAAGTACATAGAAATTCCTTACTTGTAAATAGCCAAAAAGTACTGACATGAATGATGAATTTTCACATTTAAATAATCATCAACATGAAGCCATGTTTAATGCTTGTATAATGTGATGCAATAAAATTTAAAATAAATTTATGCACATGGAATATTTTCAGCTGACTCCTCTGAAATTCTGTTAAATTCTCATATAATAAGAGGAATCATATAGCAGAGTGGGATCTTGAATGTAAGGAGAATTGCTAAGGGACTTTGTAAGAAACCAAATGTTTATTGGATGAATGCATGCAAAAACAAACAATATAGCCAGCAAAATATTAGCATGTGTTTCTGATGAACTTTTTTCCTAATCTTGATAGAATATTTTAAATATAAGGCATGATGAGTAGGCCAGAACTTGAGGATTTGCTAATCTACCTAATCTTATGAGTCTTCATAAGACTTCATAAGACCATTAGAAATATACTACTTCAATACTAGAATCTTCATTAAAATCTCATCGGCTGTCTGGATCATTCAGGAAAATAGTTACTTGGATAACAAAGTTACCCAAATAGTTGGCGAGGTGGGGTGGTTAATCTTTGAACCGGCCAAATTTTATGTTAGTTGATTTTTTAAATAGAAACCTTTCTATAAATATACATTTATAGAACAAAATTGAAACATATTTATCCTTCTTTTGATGACTTAGTATCATCACTGTAAAACTCCAACTTTTGAACAAGTACGTTTCCCAATAAGTTCTATCTGCTGGCTCCCTAAAAGTCTCCTATCCGTACAAACTGCGCCACTCACTGGGACTCTTTTCCCGTTCATTGCATTAATTCCTCACCTAGCGCATGCTTACCTATCTTACATCTCCACATGGCTTTGTAGTGATATCGGTCTAGACATGCACCTTCGCCTTCCCCACTGCCTAACGGAGTTTAGTACCTACCTTCAAGTTTTCAGTGCTTCTTAAAAATAAATGAATCAAAATGGGATACACACCTTTGCTTATAGCACACAAACTCACTTTCCTGTAAACATATATTTCAACATGAAAGAACTGAGTATTTCAGTCTTCAACTGGATATAATGTTCTAGTGAAGGAGTGAAAGCTACTCACATCACCTGTGACATGTTAAGTGCCAGTTATTATTTTCCCACCGGGCACATTAAGTGATCTTTTTCAAGATTGCCCATTGACTTCTGGGATTTAGACACCAATTTTATAATATTTTTCAACAACAACAACAAAAAAAAAATTTAAGGAAGGCTTGCTTAACAATGCTTCCATTATGTGAATGGAATACTTAAGTATTCAATTTAGATCCCATTAATCTCCTGGTAGGGGGGAGTAAATAGTCAAGCTGTTGTCAGTGGGGCACAGCCATGCTCCACTTGCATATCCATTAGTCCCCAAGGAGGTAATCTTTAATTTTCATTAATTCAGACCTTACTAATTAGGAAGTTGGGATCTCTGGCTGGGTGAGGTCCATTATGCAAAAGAAATACTATGAACGCAATAGAGAAAATATTCAAACCATTTTTTATATTTATTATTAAATACTATTTTATTTTGCACAAACTTCAAAAACATGCACTCATGGATGTATTCCTAAATATTAAAAGTATAAAATAGGCCGGGCGCAGTGGCTCACCCTTGTAATCCTAGCACTCTGGGAGGCCGAGACGGGAGGATTGCTCAAGGTCAGGAGTTCAAAACCAGCCTGAGCGAGACCCCGTCTCTACTATAAAAATAGAAAGAAATTAATTGGCCAACTAATACATATATATAAAAAATTAGCCGGGCATGGTGGCTCGTGCCTGTAGTCCCAGCGACTC